CGAGTTTCTCCTCTTGCGACAGAAATGACTGTTTTAGATTTATTAACCCCGAAATATGAGTAACTCAAGATATCCCTAGATTATTAATAATGAAGACCAAAAAGGCACAATACTCTGATTGGAACAATGAACAAATAGCCCACATACAGGAGAGAGAAAAGCTTATGACGACGTATCGGTCCATTTTGGACCGTTGATAATCCATACAGAAGAGTGAGAAAGTATATATAGGCGAGGAGGACAGGGATGGGAGAAAAGGGAGGAGGAAAAAGTAGTATTGATAATGACCATTATTAATAATATTGTTTGTGAAAACCAACGCGGGTCACTTGGTGAAAGGAGTGGTGGAAAACCAGGCAGTATGGGTTGTTGGAGTTCTTAGCTCCTCTTACCTAGAATGTTGTCCTCAACATCGATTAACTCCCGGGTACGTATTTGTATACTGTTAAGTAAACCTTGTGGAACCCCACTCCTGACGACGCTCGTGAATGCTATTATCTCCAGGCACAATATTACTTTTTTTCCTAGTATTTCTTGATCCAGCGGTGGACTTTCATCACTATACATGTCTGTTCCACTTTATGAATTAATTTATTGTATAGTATATTATCGAATGTTTTCCTGCAGTCCACAAATATGAAATTTATCCAGCCTACTCTGCTTGTGTTGTATGTTCGTGCTATTAGTATATGTTTGCTGTTTACTTTTACTTTGGGTGTTAATGTACTTTTGTAATTAGTTTTTGTCAAGAGCACTGAGTGGTCGCATGAGTTGGTGCTTTTTAAATCACTCAGCTTTTATTCCACCTTTCTACTGCTATATTTGTGTTGCACTATCGTAAAAACAACACTAAGTTCACGTGACATGATTTGTCATCTGAACTCGTGCTGCTATTTTTTAAACTAATTCCTATTCCTTTTGATTTTCTTCCCCATTACCTTACTATTTATATTAGGAATGCTGGTGTGTAGTTCAGTAATGCCTATCTATTCCCTCGTTTGCACATTGGGAAAACGTTTATTTTCTATTTTGTTTGTAGTTGCCATTATTTAGATTATTTTTTGAGCCGTTCTTATTGAATCCATGGAGACGCATTGTCGAGTCTCATTGATTTTGCTTCTTCCGGGTTCGCCGAAAAGCTTTCATTTCATTCCCTGTGCTGTGTAGTCTTCACTCAACTGGCTTTTCACTTTAAAGCATTGTTCCTGTTTCACTTTTTTGAATTAGCGCCTCACAAACCACCTTGTCATTACTTACTCTCCCTCTCCCCTTTTTTTTAGTATTATCACTTTCTCTTTATTAGGTTCCTTCATCTGATGTGGCTTTGTAGCGGTTTTAGTTAAGATTTTGATTTTACTTCTTTTCGTTATGCTTCTCTTGCCCCATTTGTATTCGTTCTCTTGTTTCTTTCTCTGCACCCCTCCATTTAGTGCATTTTTTTCCCTCTGCATCTGATGGGTGAAGCTCTTTGCCATTTTTGCTTCCTATTTTACTCTTTGACATGGAAGTCAAAAATCATATGAAATAAAGAAATGACAATATCAATTAGAAGGATAATTTGCAGAAGACAGTGCTTGGACTCTGCGGTAATTGTTTCTTCAAATACCACTACACCTCAGTCTGTTATACTATGAATTATTTTTTGCTGGTCTTTGTATTGGACTCTCCCTGGGGTGAAAATTGTCCTCGTTAAAGTTTCGTAACGTTATACACGTCTTGTTTACTCGTTAGTTGGTATCATACTTTTCATAATGTCTATTTGGTACTCCTTTGGGAATACCTTCTAATTTTTTTTTTTTTTTTTTTTTTGTCTTGGAAAACTTTATTCAGACAGCTTCGTTGGACCAAAGAGTGTCAGCTAATTTTTTTTCTATAAAACAGCATATATATTTATTGTTTTAAAACTAAAATTAAAAATTCTACAAAAGTAATTAATATACGTATTGATGCAATAATCACGAACAAGCGACACAGTCGAATACATTCAATAGTGGCGTAGCAGCAACCGCTGGCTTACCGCTGCTGAAATTGATGGTGTGGGTTGTAATGTGGTTGGTATGGGTTTTACTGTGGTTGGTATGGGTTTTACTGTGGTTGGTATGGGTTTTACTGTGGTTGGTATGGGTTTTACTGTGTAAGTTTATTCAGGTATACACAAATACAGTTACATAGAAACCATACCACGGGTGGGGATAGAACGCGCGATCAGTCTCTCAAAACTCCAGACCGTCGCGTTAGCCACTGGACCAGCTACCGGGTTCTATCCCCGCCCGTGGTGTGGTTTGTTTGCAATAGCGTCATTACGATTTCGTGAGTCATGTACAGTTACATAGATTATCATACATAGCATATGTGTAGAGAACCTAGGATAACCCAAAAAAGTCAGTGACTTTTCCATTGGGGTCCTTTTACCTTATTATTATAATATAAAGATTATAATATTTTATTATTCTATAATGAAGATAACATCTTATTATCATACTAAAAAGACTATCTACAATACGAGGGTCATTACTAGGAATTAGGTAAAATTACAGATGTTAGCTAAAAAATAGAAAATCATTCCCCTCCCTTTCTGTAGCTACATTCATCAGACGCCTTTTGGCACTCTTCTTGAACTGGTTCATGCTATGACTGGCTTTGACATGTCCGGGCAGTCTGTTCCATTCCTTTATGCTGTACAATAAAAGGTGTTTGAAGACTGGCCACTGACTGTGGATACTACAAAGTTGTGCTCTCTCCCCCTAGTACTATGATTGCTTTGGTTCCCAACCTTGACACAACTGACAGCAAGATATTCTGGACACTGAGCAATTTTATAAACATGATTTAGCTTCAGTTGTTTTACTGTCTTCAGCATTCAGCTTATCCAACTGCTGTAATTCATTCTGGCCTACATGCTCTCTTGGACCCAGCCCCAGGATGAATCTTACAATTTTGTTCTGGGTGATTTGCAGTCTATCTTTCAATTTTTTGTCAAGGCAGAGTACCATGAAGAGCAAGCGTAATTCATATGACATTGTATAAGAGCTAGACATAGGGTCCTGCGAGCCTCAGTAGGTAGACACTGTGCTTGTCTATAGAGGAACTTCAGTCTGGTATTCGCTTTCTTTACTACATTGTTCCCTGTCAGTTCTCCTGACATGCATGGGTCAAAGGGGATTCCCAGATATTTTACTGATGAAACCAAAGTGATGGGCTCCCCATTACACTGGACATTAAAATTATATACCCTTCTCAGTTTGTTTTGTGCCAAAGAGAATGTCTTCAGTTTTCCCGAGGTGTAATGATAGTTTGTTGTCTACTAACCATTTGCTGCAGGACTCCAGTTCCAGTGTTAATACATTAGATATATCTTGTAGGTCTTTACCTGACACTGAGAGAGCACTGTCATCTGCATACAGTAGGAGTTTGCACTTGACACTGATAGGCATGTCATTGACATAAGAATAATAAGGGACCCAGAATACTACCTTGGGGAACTCCACATGTTATCGGCAGGGGTTCTGATTCCGTTTTGTTGGTTTTGACAATGTCTCCTGTTGCTAAGGTAGGACTTAAACCAGTCTACAGAACCTATACCGGTAGCTTGAAGTTTCTTACATAATATATTGTGGTTGACAGTATCGAAGGCCTTTTGCAGGTCTAAGGTTACCATACCTATGAGGTTCCCCATTGACATTTCAGTTCTCAGGTAATCGTGTCGGTTGAGTAAGATCTCCTAAAGCCCGATTGATAGCTATGGAGAATGTTGTTGTCATTAAGGTACTTAACTACTTGACAGTACACCGCCCTCTCTAGAATTTTGGATATTATACCGAGTATACTAACAGGCCTATAGTTGCTTACATCAGACCTACTATTGTTCTTGAAGATAGGAGTAACTCTGGCCTCCTTGAACCCCTCCGGTACTGTATTAGTGGTGATTGACAGATTTATGTGAGCAATAGGGGTTGACAATTCAGAAGCACCATCTTTTAGGGACTTAGACGGGATGTTATCCTGGCCAGTGCTCTTAGTTGGGTTTAACCTGCTTAGTTCTTTTTGAATAAAGTCATGAGATACACTTACTAGTTGACAACTGTTTGGGGTTGCCCCTTTATTGGTATAGTATGTTTAAAACTTATCAGTCTGTGTTAAACGTATTTGATGCAGCTGGTAGTTTACTTACTAGTGTTGATGCAACAGATGTGTAGTAGGAATTAAAACAATTTGCCACCTTAGATGTTTCGTGGCATACCTCGTTATCGATAGTGAGTACTATGTTAGACCTATCTACTGGTTTATGGCTATACCCCAACTGTTTTAGTTGTTGCCAGAGCTTTTTTGGGTTATGCTTATAATCTTCAATTTTTGAGCAATAGTGCTTTGCCTTTGCTCCTTTTATAAGTCTCTGCACTCTTTCTCACCCTTTGGAATTCATTTAGTGCTGCAATATTCTGTCTGTTTGCTTTAAATCTTTTTAGCAGCTGGTCTCTGAATTTCATATTATCTAATATCTCGGTAGTCATCCAGGGTTCAGTTCTTCGTTTAATCCTAACCTCTTTAACTGGTGCAATATTATAAAGGATGGTAGTGAACGTTGTTTTGAGTTTTTCCCAGGCATCGTTTACGTCCGTGCAACTTATCTCTGTCCAGTCACAATTGTGCAGCCTATTTACCAGTGTTTCTTTACTGTGGTTTCTAGTTGACCTCATTTTTATTGTCCTGTGTAGGCCTATCCCATCCCTAGTGATTTTCCTGGTGCAGTAGATGATGAAATGATCACTAAGGCCTGTGGTAATGACGCCTGATTGACTAATACACAAATAGCCCGCACATAGAAGAGAGGAGCTTACGTCGACGTTTCGGTCCCACTTGGACCAATTACAAAGTGTCACTAACGAGCAGTGGAGCAGGACGGGTATATATAGGCAGGAAGAGGNGTTAGTGGGGTTTGGTAGTAGTAGTTTAGTGGGGGTTTAGTAGTGGTGGTAGTGGTAGTAGTGGTGGTAGTAGTAGTAGTAGCAGCAGTAGTGGGGAATAAGGAGGACGAGCCAGTCAAATCCTCTCTTCTATGTGCGGGTTATTTGTGTATCGTTCCAGTCACGGTATTGTGCCTTTTTTTTGTTATTTACTGACTGACTGACTAATGTTCTCAGAGCGGTTACAGAGTATGTGGTCAGTTGGGGTGGCTGAGAACTGGTGATTCGGGTTCGTGTATTAATTAGTTGAGTGTAACTATTTAAACCTAGAATTTGCTTATACGTTTTGCATAGCCTGTTATTTTGCTGCTAAAAATAGATATTGAAGTCGCCCAGTATAATTGTCTCGTTATTGTTTTCAAGTCCCGACAAGACTCTGGAAAAGTCTTTTAAGAACTAGTCCTGGGTGGGAGGGCGGTAACTAGTTCCTACTAAGATGGGTTTAGTCTTGGGAAGCAGCACTTCAAACCATAGAATCTCCAGTTTATTGTTATTTAAATCAGGTCTTGGGGTAGTAAGCCAAGTTATTTCTAATGTAGGCACATACCCCACCTCCCTTTCTGTTCCTAAGTGTTTTATATTGTACCCTTCTATTTTGACCTCGTCGTCAGTCACCGTATCATCCTACCAGGATTCAGAGATGGATATAACTGCCGCCCTAGTTTGGTTAGCTAGAATCCTAATCTCTGCCAATTTTGGAAAAAGTGATCTTGCGTTGACACTAATAAAGTGAAGGCCTGTTTTCATAAAACAATTATAATCATCAATATATGGCAATGGGTCATTTGTATTAAAATTAGGTAAATCAAGTCATCATTGCTAAAGGCTAATTGTGCCAAAGTGCATTTGTTACACACAAAATGAATTCTGGCACCGTTACTATAATTGTACATAAATCCATCATGCACCCACCCCTTACACATTTTACATAACGTGCCTTTTCTGTTTTTCTTGCATACTTTAGTACAGTGTATGCATCTGTTTGGTAGTGTTTGAGATAATAATGGCTATATTGTCTCACATTGACTTAGTATGTGTGCATTACATATGGAGTTAAGGTTATTTCTAGCTACTAGACCGTCATTAGCACCGTCATTTATCTGTCTGTTTTGCCTCTGCACAATAGTTTGAGGTCCTGGATTAATTTGGATATCACCACTTAAGAGCGCTACAATAAGAGCTGTGTGCCACTGTTTTTGTTTGGGTATGCGGTGTTGCCATACCTTGCGGCGATAGTGACATTTACTTTTCTGGTAGGATGGCAACTGTTGGGCTTTTACTGTCCAGGTGCTATTACTCCATTCACCTTTTCCAACCCCCATGACTGATTTCTTTCTTCATAGAATTGCAGGAGAAAGATAAATATAATTATGGCAGCCTGTACCCCCCTAATGCCTGCCATTTTCACTCTTCGCTCTTTTACTCATATACAACAATATTTATTTCTCTTTTTCCCCTCACCTAGCAAACCCTAGTATCTGCTTTAGCAATCACCACTTAATCACTAGTAAATTTTCTACTTCAAAACCCTCTTCACTGCTCACTTTTCCCTTAACTTCACAAACCCCTTTCAGTTAACCCCTTATTTCACACTCCCCTTCCCGCCTCGCTTCACAGTCCGGGTTCACCTATTACACTTCTAACTCCTTTCCATTCTGGCAGGACCAGAAAGTTTTAATCAATGTTTTTTTTTTTATCCGTCCAAATCCCCCTCAATTCCATTTATCGGGGGTTGTCGTGTTGTTGACTCCTGACCTGGTCTTCTGTCTCAGCCATTTTTAAAAGCATTGAGGGAAATAAATGCCACTTACTGTCTGGCTTTCCTTGAGTTTTATAGATAGATTTGTAGTTTTCTGCTATGATTCTCACTGTACACTGGTCAGCTGAATATAGGTCAGCTACTAAAACATTGGTTGGTATGGGTTTCACTGTGGTTGGTATGGGTTTCACTGTGGTTGCTACAGTTGAAAGAACATGTAAAGAACTGCAACAACCTCAGTGTATACACACAGCTCGCGATGCAGAACAGTTCCACATTCTTAGGGTCTTTTTCACTAGGGAAGGAGGAAGGGCAGGTTAAAAAATGAAGGATCTTTTAAGGAAAATCTTCAAGCATTTGTATTAGGAAAAATAGCCGTAATAATAACAATGATGTTTACATAATTTAATGGTCATTTCGTTATATTTATTGTCTGTTGTTTAATATCTTTTCTATGCACCCTGTATTATTTCTGAATATGGTATAATATATTGTGATGAAATATAAGCGTCTTATTAACATAATTTAGTCCAGGGATCTAGTACAAATATTAAAATGTTGAGTGACGTGGCATCTTGATTGTGAAAGTCATTGTGGTTAGACAAGGTATCACCCGCTACATCAGTTACACAAGATATTACCTGTAACATCACAAGACAGCCACCATAAAGACTTCCAAATTTAACAAGTTTACCTACAGTGATCTTGTCACAATAAAATCTTTACAGAACTCTTCGTATGTCATTTGAGCAAACCATCATATGATCAGTACCCGTGTCAGGGGATAATCCTGACGAATATACTACAAACATCAGATAGGCAAGAAGGGATGCCATACAACATCAGCAGGAGTGGATCACTTAAACGCTGTCATGACAGCAGTCAGGATGCCCGTGGCACCTATGCCTGGCCCCAGGTGTCCCCTCGTACAGCCGAGCTTGCCAGGCAGTGGAAGGATGCCCGTGGCACCTATGCCTGGCCCCAGGTGTCCCCTCGTACAGCCGAGCTTGCCAGGCAGTGGAACGACTCCATAGTTAAGAACTGTGCTGTAGGCGACGAAGATGCCAACCAACCGCTTGAGAAGGATTCTTCGCCTCCTGTTGTGGGTTATCCTATACAAATTAACTTTCAGGATGTTCATAACAGAGGTGGTGACGCTGGAGACGGCGGCTGTAGGGATGCAAGAAATAGTGTCAACCCAGAATTGTTAACCTTCCACCGCCATACACCTGAAATGGTAGATATTTTGTAAGTATTAAGAATATTTACGGGGAAGCACTATAAACCCATGGATCTTTCAACGCCTGGGAAATAGGTAGTCAATTTTAATCAGAGGAAGCGTAGGATAGTTCCAATTCTTTGGATTAAGCCCCCTCCGCCTTTTCCGACGAGGCGCACCTCTTACAAGGTATGTAAATTACTTTTTCGTTTTTATTATTTGACGGCAGTAGCTACCTGTCCTCCGGCAACAGTACAGTCTATGCTGGTTGTCGTGTGCACGCTTGTATAAGGTAACGCATTAGACATCACGGATTACTGACTCCATAATAGAAAACATGACAACGAATAAATATGCTGTGATTATTTTTAGTTTTCTCATCCTTGTTGGCCTCTACGTTAGTTGATGCTTATTGTGCTGTCGGGTGTAAGTGACAAGGCGAGTGGCCAAATTTAGCATTAAACGGGTACCTCGAGTATTTAAAAAGAGGAGGAAGTCGGATAACAGTCATGAGGCCGAAAAACTGGAAGCCAAAAGAATACAGCAGTCTGTGTAGCAAACATTTTAATGCTTCCCGAAAGAAAATTTAAAAATTATAGAAATTTCTTATTGCATGATCTGAATTCACTTCGATTTCTGAAAATTTTGTTGCATTCAGTAAGCAGGTCAAAGTAAGAGTTGTCTGCTTCGAAGTCTGTATGAAGTATCCTTTTTCCACAATTTGTCGGTATCACGACTTAAGAAATCGTAATGACACGATTGCAAACAAACCATACCCCCGGCCGGGTTGAACCCGCGGTCATAGTCTCAAAACTCCAGCCCGTCGCGTGGCTAGCTGGTCTAGTGGCTAACGCGACGGGCTGGAGTTTTGAGACTCTATGACCGCGGGTTCAATCCCGGCCGGGGGTATAGTTTGTCGGTATCACCATACCATTTACAGCCTCAGTCAAAGCATTAGGTAGATGTAAAGCAACAACACTTGGTGTGTATTCCCTGTAGTAATATGTAAGCTCAGAGAGCAGTGCTAATTCTTCTAAGGCTTGATTGACTCTGAATTAGTCATGTAACTGCAAAATCTCACTACATCTGTTCTCAGGTTCTTTAGACTATAAAATATAAATACAACAAATCGTGTACGCAGTGCTCGTTTACTAGGGCTTCCTTAGGAAAATGTGTGTACAAGTTATTGAGAGTATGAAAGGCAACACTTTTTTTTAGGGGAAGGGGAGGGAGGCCTTCGTCGCTTTATGTACAAGATTTTTTAAGAATATTTTTTTATTGGGTTTAGTTAGTAGTATATATGCACCGAGAAATGTGTAAAATGTATATATATGTCAGAATATGTAAAATTGGTCAACTAGCAAGAACTCGTTTAAAATCAACTCCTTTCTAAAATTTTCTCATATACGTTTAAATATATATATTTTTTCATTTATGTTAATGTTAAAATTAATAATTTTGTTCCAAAAGAACCTTAGAAAGCTTACCTAACCTTATTATAACAAGCGCAATTTAGTATAGCCTAATCCAACTAAATATATTTTACATAAGTTTACAGTAATTTAATAATAAACAAACACAATGAGATATATTTTTTCGTTAGGTTCAGAATGAATTTTGTGACATTATTGCATACAAAAATATTCGCTTGCCTTGTCCGGCAAGAAGAGTGTTGCTATTTAAACTAAAATAGCAAGTTTTACCTGTTCGGCACGACACATGCACACAATTATGTAATAAATACGTATGTATATATATATATTATATATATATATATATATATATATATATATATATATATATATATATATATATATATATAGGTAGTAGGTTGGTAGACAGCAACCACCCAGGGAAGTACTACCGTCCTGCCAGATGACTGTGAAACAAAAACCTGTAACTGTTTTGCATGATGGTAGGATTGCTGGTTTCTTTTTCTGTCTCATAAACACGCTAAGATAACAGGGATATCTTGCTACTCCTACTTACACTTTGGTCACACTTCACAGACACGCACATGCATATATATATATACATACATCTAGGTTTTTCTCCTTTTTCTAAATAGCTCTTGTTCTTTTTATTTCTTCTATTGTCCATGGGGAAGTGGAAAAGAATCTTTCCTCCGTAAGCCATGCGTGTCGTATGAGGCGACTAAAATGCCGGGAGCAATGGGCTAGTAACCCTTCTCCTGTATACAATTACTAAAAAAGAGAAGAAGAAAAACTTATAAAACTGGTTGCTTAAATGTGCGTGGATGTAGTGCGGATGACAAGAAACAGATGATTGCTGATGTTATGAATGAAAAGAAGTTGGATGTCCTGGCCCTAAGCGAAACAAAGCTGAAGGGGGTAGGAGAGTTTCAGTGGGGGGAAATAAATGGGATTAAATCTGGAGTATCTGAGAGAGTTAGAGCAAAGGAAGGGGTAGCAGTAATGTTAAATGATCAGTTATGGAAGGAGAAAAGAGAATATGAATGTGTAAATTCAAGAATTATGTGGATTAAAGTAAAGGTTGGATGCGAGAAGTGGGTCATAATAAGCGTGTATGCACCTGGAGAAGAGAGGAATGCAGAGGAGAGAGAGAGATTTTGGGAGATGTTAAGTGAATGTATAGGAGCCTTTGAACCAAGTGAGAGAGTAATTGTGGTAGGGGACTTGAATGCTAAAGTAGGAGAAACTTTTAGAGAGGTGTGTGTAGGTAAGTTTGGGGTGCCAGGTGTAAATGATAATGGGAGCCCTTTGATTGAACTTTGTATAGAAAGGGGTTTAGTTATAGGTAATACATATTTAAGAAAAAGAGGATAAAAAGTATACACGATATGATGTAGGGCGAAATGACAGTAGTTTGTTGGATTATGTATTGGTAGATAAAAGACTGTTGAGTAGACTTCAGGATGTACATGTTTATAGAGGGGCCACAGATATATCAGATCACTTTCTAGTTGTAGCTACACTGAGAGTAAAAGGTAGATGGGATACAAGGAGAATAGAAGCATCAGGGAAGAGAGAGGTGAAGGTTTATAAACTAAAAGAGGAGGCAGTTAGGGTAAGATATAAACAGCTATTGGAGGATAGATGGGCTAATGAGAGCATAGGCAATGGGGTCGAAGAGGTATGGGGTAGGTTTAAAAATGTAGTGTTAGAGTGTTCAGCAGAAGTTTGTGGTTACAGGAAAGTGGGTGCAGGAGGGAAGAGGAGCGATTGGTGGAATGATGATGTAAAGAGAGTAGTAAGGGAGAAAAAGTTAGCATATGAGAAGTTTTTACAAAGTAGAAGTGATGCAAGGAGGGAAGAGTATATGGAGAAAAAGAGAGAAGTTAAGAGAGTGGTGAAGCAATGTAAAAAGAGAGCAAATGAGAGAGTGGGTGAGATGTTATCAACAAATTTTGTTGAAAATAAGAAAAAGTTTTGGAGTGAGATTAACAAGTTAAGAAAGCCTAGAGAACAAATGGATTTGTCAGTTAAAAATAGGAGAGGAGAGTTATTAAATGGAGAGTTAGAGGTATTGGGAAGATGGAAGGAATATTTTGAGGAATTGTTAAATGTTGATGAAGATAGGGAAGCTGTGATTTCGTGTATAGGCAAGGAGGAATAACATCTTGTAGGAGTGAGGAAGAGCCAGTTGTGAGTGTGGGGAAGTTCGTGAGGCAGTAGGTAAAATGAAAGGGGGTAAGGCAGCCGGGATTGATGGGATAAAGATAGAAATGTTAAAAGCAGGTGGGGATATAGTTTTGGAGTGGTTGGTGCAATTATTTAATAAATGTATGGAAGAAGGTAAGGTACCTAGGGATTGGCAGAGAGCATGCATAGTTCCTTTGTATAAAGGCAAAGGGGATAAAAGAGAGTGCAAAAATTATAGGGGGATAAGTCTGTTGAGTGTACCTGGTAAAGTGTATGGTAGAGTTATAATTGAAAGAATTAAGAGTAAGACGGAGAATAGGATAGCAGATGAACAAGGAGGCTTTAGGAAAGGTAGGGGGTGTGTGGACCAGGTGTTTACAGTGAAACATATAAGTGAACAGTATTTAGATAAGGCTAAAGAGGTCTTTGTGGCATTTATGGATTTGGAAAAGGCGTATGACAGGGTGGATAGGGGGGCAATGTGGCAGATGTTGCAAGTGTATGGTGTAGGAGGTAGGTTACTGAAAGCAGTGAAGAGTTTTTACGAGGATAGTGAGGCTCAAGTTAGAGTATGTAGGAAAGAGGGAAATTTTTTCCCAGTAAAAGTAGGCCTTAGACAAGGATGTGTGATGTCACCGTGGTTGTTTTAATATATTTATAGATGGGGTTGTAAGAGAAGTAAATGCGAGGGTCTTGGCAAGAGGCGTGGAGTTAAAAGATAAAGAATCACACACAAAGTGGGAGTTGTCACAGCTGCTCTTTGCTGATGACACTGTGCTCTTGGGAGATTCTGAAGAGAAGTTGCAGAGATTGGTGGATGAATTTGGTAGGGTGTGCAAAAGAAGAAAATTAAAGGTGAATACAGGAAAGAGTAAGGTTATGAGGATAACAAAAAGATTAGGTGATGAAAGATTGAATATCAGATTGGAGGGAGAGAGTATGGAGGAGGTGAACGTATTCAGATATTTGGGAGTGGACGTGTCAGCAGATGGGTCTATGAAAGACGAGGTGAATCATAGAATTGATGAGGGAAAAAGAGTGAGTGGTGCACTTAGGAGTCTGTGGAGACAAAGAACTTTGTCCTTGGAGGCAAAGAGGGGAATGTATGAGAGTATAGTTTTACCAACGCTCTTATATGGGTGTGAAGCGTGGGTGATGAATGTTGCAGCGAGGAGAAGGCTGGAGGCAGTGGAGATGTCATGTCTGAGGGCAATGTGTGGTGTGAATATAATGCAGAGAATTCGTAGTTTGGAAGTTAGGAGGAGGTGCGGGATTACCAAAACTGTTGTCCAGAGGGCTGAGGAAGGGTTGTTGAGGTGGTTCGGACATGTAGAGAGAATGGAGCGAAACAGAATGACTTCAAGAGTGTATCAGTCTGTAGTGGAAGGAAGGCGGGGTAGGGGTCGGCCTAGGAAGGGTTGGAGGGAGGGGGTAAAGGAGGTTTTGTGTGCGAGGGGCTTGGACTTCCAGCAGGCATGCGTGAGCGTGTTTGATAGGAGTGAATGGAGACAAATGGTTTTTTATACTTGACGTGCTGTTGGAGTGTGAGCAAAGTAACATTTATGAAGGGATTCAGGGAAACCGGCAGGCCGACTTGAGTCCTGGAGATGGGAAGTACAGTGCCTGCACTCTGAAGGAGGGGTGTTAATGTTGCAGTTTAAAAACTGTAGTGTAAAGCACCCTTCTGGCAAGACAGTGATGGAGTGAATGATGGTGAAAGTTTTTCCTTTTCGGGCCACCCTGCCTTGGTGGGAATCGGCCGGTGTGATAATAAAATAAAATAAAATATATATATATATATATATATATATATATATATATATACTTGACTGATGGACAGGTGAAATTCAGTCTTAATATTAGACTCTCTTGCCATCGATAGTTTTTTAAAAAGTTTTATGTACGTTAACCTATTGTTGTGGGTTCACATCTTAGGGTGGCTAGTAAAATTCCACTGAAGGGTCATCATGTGAATAAGACCCGCGTCAGGAATCACTTTCCATGTTTCCTGACAAATCTCGCCTTACCTAACCTACTACCTTAAAGGTTAAATTTAGCTTCATCACTCAGAAATATACAATTGTGATAAGACTGATATTTGCCGTTATTGCAGCAGCTAATTTACTGTTTACTGGCAACGTAATTGTACTTTAACTTATGATCTCAAGCTTCTCCAGAAGAGCACGATATATAATATAATATTGTTAAGCACTTCATTATAAGTTCAGGTTTGAATTTCACAACTATAAAAAACAGTCTGCTTGACTGGTGCGGCATAAAACATTGAAGGATAGGCTTTTGGCTCTACATATAAAAGTATTTTAGAGCGAGAGCAATACTGATTTACTGGTAATTAGAGTAAGATGAAGATGTAATGCTAATGCCAATGTTTAGAGAAACCAAATGAATTTTATTAAAATGATCGAGTTTTACAGCAAGTTTGAAGAAATAAAATTGAGGAAAAATATGAAGTGAATTATTTATTAGTAAAATATAATTCAGAACATGTTTAAATTATGGAAATTCTCCAACATTGATTGGGATATGCAATGGAAACTTATATTTTGGTAATAGAAAAAAATATTTAACAAACTAAATCAATCTAACTTTGAATCTAATTGCTAATATAGGTTAGATTTTTTTTTTTTGAGGGGAGGGGCAAGTTTAAAAATGCGTTTTACCCATTTACAAAAATGAAACTATATTGCACAGTCCAGTTAATGTAGATGAATGGTTCAGAGAACCGACATGTTGATAAATTAGACACATGTGCAACTCTTGGGTATCTTTATTGAGGAAACGTTTCGCCACACAGTGGCTTCATCAGTCCATACAAAGGAGAATCTTGAAGAATAGGAGGAGAATGAGGTAATCAGTCCCTCAACCTTGAGTCGATGTGGTCAGTCCATCAATCTTGAATAAAATACGGCATACGTGCTGAGAAGGAGCTTATAAACCGTTGGCAGGAGAGGTGAAGCAGTCAGAGGCAGTGTAACACTTATTCAATGTTGAAGTAGGTCGTGCCCAAGAATTAGGCAAGCGAAGAATTCCCAAGTATTAAGATCCCAAGAAGATGCAGTGTCTGACAGGTTTGTAGATGAATGGTTCAGAGAACCGACATGTTGATAAATTAGACACATGTGCAACTCTTGGGTATCTTTATTGAGGAAACGTTTCGCCACTGTGTGGCGAAACGTTTCCTCAATAAAGATACCCAAGAGTTGCACATGTGTCTAATTTATCAGTCCAGTTAATATTGGAGGATTTACTTAATGATCTATCGTTAAGCTCAAAGTAATCAGCTCATTAAAAATAGTAGGCCTTAATAAAGCTCTTGGGGACTGGGAGGCAAGCAGATTTAATTCAAGGTTTTGAGGGTAGCTCGAATTCCTTGGATCAAAACCCCTTTCCCCAGCATAAAGGCACTACCTCACGGCCTTCATAGAAAGTGGGTATACTATGGTGAGTTTTGTACTACTGTGCTGCGATCAGATGAACTGTTGTGATTTTCATAAACCCGAACTTGATAATATCCATCTACAACTTCAATGTAATTTTAGTATATTTTTTTCAACATAGTTCTTAACACAAGTTTTTTTTATGAATCTGACCATGAAGCAGCATGATAGTTTCTTGGTGTGACCCACAGCAAGTCGTGCCATCTGCAGCACGGAGCAAGACCAGTGAAGATAGTACGAGCCAGCTACCAGTATGCGTATGATGAGACTAACACAGAGTACCTCGACTGTGTCAACTCCATGTCACATGGTAAGTCAGTCCCTGTCTATTGTAACTGTAGTACATGCTTATGTGGCAGTGCTCACCATGTACTCTCTAGATTTGAAAGAGCTTGGTCTCCAATCTAAAAGTTATCTTAGAGCGAAGTTTCCGCTCAGGAATAGTATATCACACCTACTTAAGTGTCATTCACTATCAAATGTGAGTAAATATACTGATAAGGTCATTGTTTTTATTATGTAAATTCCCCATTATCGAGTTGTGTAAGGAAGACAATTTTGGGCATACAAAGTTTTTTTTTATTCCCCCCCAAAAAGTAACCCAACGGATTAGTCTCTAGATTAAGTTGAATTAGGTTAAGCTTATCTTTAGTCTCTTGCAATCAATAGGCTTTAAGTTTAACAAACCAACCAACTACCAACTAATCACCATTTTGCGGATTAAAGTATTTATATTGCTAATGTACAGATGAATTACAGCAATGACTCACTGGGTGGTTAATGGGGTTTAAAGTCTATCGACTACCCTAAGGACTTTGCATAACCTATTCAGCACCAAGCAAGAATACTTTTAAAGTGTCTCGGAATACATTAGCTTTGAATTCAGCCATTATTATATTTTCCAGTTGGACACTGTCATCCGGCTGTGGTTGAGGCAACGTCACTCGCGATGGTCACAGAAGTCGCTAGCAGCGGATGGGAGATTGATTTAGGTGAACCCAAGTACCCAAAAGATCTTCGTCAAATTCTGCCAGACCACTTAGATACATTCCTTTTCTGTAATTCAGGGTGAGTAAATGCAATATTATTGCTGTTATTAGAGTATTATTTATATAATTCACAAAAGTGTTAAGCCAAGAGGTAAATGTATAATTAGTCATAATACCGACAATAGTTATGATAATACCCGTATAGTTTAATAAATGCGTCATTAAGTTGGATGTGTCCAGTAACCTAGGTAAATATATGATGATAATATTGCTCCATAGATAAACAAGAATTTAAGCAACACACTGCTCATGCAGCAACTTACACCCAAAACAATTAAATATAAATAAGGCGAATGGGGTAGATAATATATGGAATTCAGTTTGTTACTAATTTTGAACTGTAGACCGTATTGTTCAGAGGTAGTAAAATAGCTTTAATATGCAACTCAGCTCTGGTTAAGAACATTACAGAGGTACATAAGGAGTCGAGGAACTGAGTCCCAACCTTATTAACTATGCATATTTTAGTAGCTATGTTATTAACTATGCATATTTTAGTAGCTATGACCTATTTGCAGAAACTATCTATTTAAAGTAATGGATTCGTTACACAACGAATTGTCACACAACCATTACAGTGAAGCATATGTAATAAGATGCATTTTGTTCTAAGGGACTAGCCGAGTTGCTAAAGATAATTTATTTATTTTATTTCTTTCTTTTAAATGCAAGAAACGGGGATAACCTTAATTAAATTCGCCCTCACCCTCCATGAAGGAAAACGGTGAACTAAAGTTATGCAAATTTTGTACGTTTCGGTTTCTCATTTTGTAACAATATTAGCAGAGAACCTACCGTAACGCAAATAAAAGCAACTTAAAATATTGCGCAATTTACCTCGCCTATCTAAGAATTTACATATAGCAGTTTTCCTTATGGAAGGTTGGCGAATTTTCAGACGATTCCACAAAGGTTTTACTTAAAAAGTGGAACCTCGGTTGTCGAACAAATCGGTTTATGAACCGATTTGTTCGATTTCGTTGTCGTGCATGGTCTTGGTTGTTGACCGACAGCGTTCGGATAACGTGATCACAGTCAACAGCGTGGGTCTCATTCAGTATAACGACTAACTCGCTTGCTCATGAACTTTTGCTGTGCATCTTGTGAAGGTAATGAAACCAAAAGTACGAAATTTGATGGAAAACTTACGGAATTACACTCGCGAAGTTAGCGATCTCGGCGATATTTAAGCATCGGCGATTTCACTACTTTTAACTTTATTTTGGGTCAATTCTATTGTTCCAGTCGACCAAACTCGTAGCTATTTCGCTAGAACCTTTTATTCTATCCGATTGAGTACAGTAAACCGCCCATTTACCTATTTCAGCTACCCAATAAAGTGATCTGAAATTACTAATTTGGCCAATTTCACACAAAATTCAATAAAGGCCAGTTTCAAAATATGGTCCAATGCAGCATTCCTGGTACTAAAATAACATTTTATCTGCTCATTAGTTACGCCTCCAGGCCTCTTATATTACGCTTGCTTTTCATTTTGATTCTTTTATACAGAAAAATAATTTACTATTATTCAGACTACTGCATAATTGTAATAATTGTGTAAATAATATCAGTGCGTTCGTGAATGCATATTAGATCCATCAGTTGACGTGTATTAGACGCTTGACATGATTTGTTTACTCTTGAACATCGGCAAAAATCGCTAATATGAGCTCAATTTCAAACTACTTTTAGTCTTTAAGCCATTGAAAATCATCTCTATTTCTGTAAAATATCTTCCATTCTATCAAATGAAATCAACAAAATGAGAATACAACCATAAATACTATACGAAAATACACCGCAAAGTCGTTGTTTTAAACCAAAATCACGGTCGCGGTTTTTTTATTTCATGCATTGCGTGCTGCAGGATTTTTTTTTATACCATGCAGACCCATTCCTACATGTAGGCCTACCAGCTATCTTCCGCAAGATTTGAAGCAACGAGAATTTTTGCCATTAGCTCTGACAGGTAAGAGGCAATTAAATTCTCATTTACTCTACAGTATTTCAGTTAAATTTTCACTTAGTATTCATTTTTACAGTTTCCGTGTGCTGTTTAATTGTATACATTGTTTTATGTAGTAGTTAGTACAGTATCATAAATAAATTAGTCATTTTTGGTCTGGAATGGGTTAATTCTATTTACATTATTTTTTATGGGAAAAATTGGTTTACTTGTTGATCATTGTGGTTGTCGAACTGACATCTGGAACGAATTAAGTTCGACAATTGAGGTTCCACTGTATGCGTCCTTTAAGAAAGATTTAGGTTAGTGTTCTATAGATTTGCCTTATTTTAAGCTGGGGTTAACAAGGTACATTTCGGGGTTTGCCTCTGAAATATTGATATAGCCTCGTGTCTCCGACTTTAGGAACGTAGGACGTGAGAGGAGGGGAAGGGAAGTTGGCAGCTGCCAGGGAAAGAAGGGATTGCGAGTGGTCGGTGACCTCTAGAGATAGAGGAATCTGAGGGCAAAACAGTCGTTGCATCAAGGCACGGTAAGGAAGAATGGGAGTGCAAGCATTTCTGGTACTTTCGTGACTGTGGAAGGAGTCAGTTTCATGGAATCTGTCCGAAACTTTACCACGAGTTTGTGAGGTAGTAACTTTTTTTTTTCTTTGGAAGTTGCAACGTAGGTGCCGAAGTAGCAACTGAAAAGTGCTGGAAGTTAGCAAAGGTGACAGCTGGTGAAGAGGTAAGAATGTCGGAGGTGAGAACATCATAAGGGTTGAACTCTGGAATACTTGTGGTAGAAGCCATTGGCTGCTGAAGTTATCTGGCGACTCTGGAAGGGAAGGGCATGTTGAATTATCAGTTTTGACATAACTAGGTCACAGTTTGGTTATGTAACAAACCCTCTTTGCCCTTCAAATATCGTTTCTCGCCTTTTCGCACGAAAGCGGAACACCGAGAATGAGGTATGTTCACCACCGTTAAATGAGAAGGTTTGTATCAAGTTGGATTATTGTCTGCTTAGCACGCTGGACATTACTTTTGCACGCAACATTATTGTGGTATTGGTTTGTATTTTGCCCAGCATTTTCGACATTGTTAGGGCATTGGTTTGTATTTTGTCACTTTTAAGCATTAACCTGCAATGCTGAATAAAGAATGGGGGAACAGTAAGTGACGGCAGTTAAAGCCAAACTTGGCAATATTGCTTGTAAAGCATCTCTCTCCGTGAGCAAGACAAACATATGTTGGGAGTATAGTTCAAGTTGCACCATCGTATCTTTAGTGTATTCTCTGAAGTCTTGCTGTATTACTGAGTGTCGGAGGATAATAATTCCGCAGTTTGAATTGAGAAATGTATTGTGATAGCAGTGTCCTGATACTGTGGACCAGTGACAGTTTGACGGCCTGCTCAACATCATTTACATTAATACTGAGCATCCAGTTCTTCAGAGTATTGAATATGAAATGTCTTGGCTGACGAAGGTAATGAGTGTTTTGTCGATATTATAGTCATTAAGGTACCCCTAAAGATTTGTCTGGAGAGTGAAGTTTCTTCATTGTCATTTTTTAAGACTTCTTGCAGAGGATAAGTTTCCAGGTAGTTTCTTAGTGTGAACCAGGTATAGATTCAGCATTGCCACTAGTTTGTTGAAGTGTTTTGGCAGAAGGCCTCGAGTCATTTTCTTTTGGTATGATCCGTGAATCGTAGTTGTATAGTGAGGAAGCAGTTTTCATAGTCAACATAGTCCAAAGGTACCGAGAAGGGTAAGTCAACACCAGTACAGGGATTCAGCCAACAAGTGGTTGCGTGAAAGCAGTTGATGGCTGATAGTCCATGGTCGTGTTGGGGGAAGGGAAGCCTGCAGAATACGGTTCTCTCGTTACTCTTAAAGTATATAAAAAAGGGGGAGTCGGCTCAGAGAATAAACAAAAAGAAACCACGTATCCACCCTGAGCCATAGTCACCGCTGCGAGAGGTACTGCTGTTGTTTCCTGGAAACTGCCTATTACACCTACCTGGTGCACAACCCCTGAATGGTGCTTCTAGTATTGACTGAGCAAGGCTTAGCAAAATTGCCTGTTTAAACAAGAGTAACAACTGTGCAATTATGTTTCACCTAATAATCAGGGCGAACAGGAAAGAATGTCACGAGTCGTAAAATTTAATTTGCCACCCCTGGATGAGCAGACATCCTCAGGTAGTACTTCCGCAGTCAAAGATCCTGGTAGATAGTAGCCTAATGTCTCGCTGAAGGGTCACCTGACATGCCCTAAAAGGACCCAATTTTCATTAGGTGCAGTGACACAACCACCACACAAATTCAAATTCAAATTCAAAGTTTATTCTCTATAAAGATTACAATGTTGAATTTACAGAATTTGGTTGTTGTGTGGTTTACATGTAGTTAAATAATGATTACAGAGTGTACCACTAGAACGCCTAGCATGGCTAGGCATTTCGGGCAGACTTAGTTTAATTCTTTATTTTAAAATATTACAAATTATGAGGTAAGTTGGTATTATGGCTAAGCGACTAAATACTAGTTTGTGAGTTTTGCAATGTGAATGCTTTTGTTTTGGCACAGTACATAGTTTCAGTATTGGAGTATCATAGGATTCATTATTTTAAGATTGAGATTAATATTTCTGTTTATGGTCAAATGGATGAGTGAGTGTAAGTGTGAACCACCAGGTGGTATTCGTGTAGTTAGTTGATGGGGTGTCTGGTGTTATGCCTGTGGGTTCTGTCACAACTATCAAGAAAGCGTTTTAGGTCAAGGTTGATATTGGAGTTTAAGGTCCTGTAGATGTAGACTGCACAGTAGTAAGTGTGGATGTACTGAACAGGGAGTAAGTTTAGATCTATGAAGAGTGGGGGGGGTGTTGCCAGGGATGGGATTTAGTGATTATTCTTACTGCAGCTTTTTGTTGGGTTATTATTGGCTTTAGGTGTGTTGCTGCAGTTGATCCCCAAGCACAAATAGCATAGGTGAGGTATGGATATATAAGTGAATGGTATAGTGTGATAAGGGCAGTTTGCGGCACGTAGTATCGTATCTTGGAGAGGATCCCAAAACCTTTTTTGGATACTTTTTTGGTTATGTGTTGGATATGGGTGCTGAAATTCAGGTTGTTGTCAAGGTATAGGCCTAGGAATTTGCCCTCATTATGTCTGGTAATTAGAGTGTTGTCGATCTTAATGTTAATTTGTGCATCTCCTGCTCTGCTACCAAACATAATATAGTAGGTTTTGTCAGTGTTAAGCGTAAGTTTATTGGCTGTCATCCAAGTCGATATTTTGATCAGCTCCTCGTCAACAATGGTGTTGAGGGTGGCAAGATTAGGGTGAGAGATGACATAAGTCGTGTCGTCAGCAAAGAGAATGGGTTTCAGGTGTTGGGATAACGTTTGGAAGATCATTGATGTATATGAGGAAGAGCAAGGGACCAAGGACACTTCCCTGCGGAACTCCAGTATCAAGTGGCCGTGTTGTTGATGCTGTGTCTTTAATGGTGACATACTGATACCTATTAGTAAGGCAAGATTTGAAATAAGCAAGCGCATGGCCTCTTATACCGTAATGGTCAAGTTTGTGGAGTAGGATGTCGTGGTCTACTGTGTCAAAAGCTTTTCTTAGGTCAATAAAAATTCCTAGTGGATATTCCTTATTTTCCAATGCTGTGTAAAGCAGATCTAGCATTTTTATGATTGCATCATTAGTGCTTTTATTTTTCCTGAATCCAAATTGGCAGGGGTTGAGTATGTTTTGTGTTGTTATAAATGAATATAGTCTCCTGTGCACGAGTTTCTCAAAGATTATGGATAGCAATGGTAAGTTTGATATTGGCCTATAGTTGTTTAAGTCTGTAGGGTCACCACCTTTATGTAGTGGTGTAACCCTTGCCATCTTGAGTAGTTTTGGGAAGGTGCTAGTTTCTAGTGACTTGTTAAAAAGTATTGAAATAGCATGCGAAAGGATATGGGCCGCTCGCTTGTACAGTAATGGTGGGACATTAGACAGATTCCCCGAGTTGTTTTTAAGTGACTTTATAATCTCGGTGACTTCCGAGGGCTCAGTTGGTGCAAGATAGAAGGAATCTGGGAAATTCCCATCTAGGTAGTCCCCGGCATGGGCATTGGTATGTGGGATTTTATTGGCGAGATTAGATCCTATGGTTGAGAAGAAGTCGTTTATCTTGTTAGCTGTGTCAGTGGGATGTAGTGGTATTTCATTAGGTTTAGTTAAGACAATATTCTTGTTTTTTTTCAGTTTGTGGGTCCCTAGAATCTGAGAGTGTTTTCCAGGTCTTTTTTATATCTCCTCTAGTGTCTGTGAATCTACTGGAGTAGTATAGTTGTTTGGCTTTCTTTATTACTTTGGTGAGAACTGATGAATAGTGTTTAAGAATATCTTTGTGTATTAAGCCCTGTCTATATTGCTTTTCATATTGGTGTTTCTTGTCAATGGATTTCAGAATGGTACTGGTTAGCCATGGGCAACCAAGCCATTTGTTTGATCTGTTTCATTTTTATAGGACAATATTTGTTGTATAGTCTAAGTAATTTGTTAAGAAAAATGTCTGTCCAGTCATCAATACCATTGGCCTTGGAGAATTCTGTAGGCCAGTCAACAATCTCTAGGTCAGCTGTGAACTTCCTTATTGAGGCCTCGTCATGGAGTCTAAATGAGACTTTGTTGAATTCAAGTGGTGGTTTACTAATGTTTGTCAGGAGGAAGGTAGGGTAGTGGTCTGTAGTGCTATCTGTGATTATCCCTGATTTAAGGGGGGCTAGTATATTGGTCCATATGGTTTACTTTTTCTTCTTTCTAGGATATGTTTTTCAGAGGAAAATATCTTCCCCCACTAATGAAATTAAGAGAATAGGGGAGGTTTGGGAGTAATAGTTGATTTGAGGAAAAGGTAAATGGTCAAATTCCTTAGATCAAGAACCCTTTTGCCACGATATGGAAATCCCCTTGTAATGTTGCTCAGGTGCAAAACTTAACTTAATTTTTTTTAATGTGCAAGTTAACTGTTGGGAAGGGAACGAATATTCTACTATCATTGATGGTATATATATTCTTGCCTTGCATTTTCACGTTCTCAGGTCCGAGGCAGTTGATCTTGCTTTACAACTATCACGACTGTACACGTGTGGGACAGCTGTTATAGTAGTGGACAACGCTTTCCATGGGGCGCTTGATTCTGTCCACCAACTGTCTCCTAAAATCTACAAATCTAATAATATATGTAAGTTTTTTTTCTCTTCTCTGAGCAAACTTTTAAGTTTCTATTTTACATGTAAATAACATATGTAATTAAAGCTTTAATTAGTTTCAGATCATCGATGTTAAATTTATCAAAAAGAAAAAGGGTTTAAGAAACTATGCACCGAGGGACATGACCTTTAAGTGTACGTATGTGTATATAAAAACGAGATATATACACACACACACACTGTGCTTGAATCATTTTGATTATATAATTATATATATATATATATATATATATATATATATATATATATATATATATATATATATATATATATATATATATATATATATATAAAGAAGTGCTGAAGGCGGCTGAGTGGTCTCTTCTACAGAGCGGTCTCCCACGGTACGGTCTCCACGGTACGGTCTCCTCCCGAAAGGTCTGCAGCTGAGCAGTCCCTCCTGAGCGGTCTCCTTCCGCGCCCGCCCGAGCGCCAGCCCGTCCGCGCCGACCCGCGACCTTGACCTCGCCCTCGACCACCTTGCCCTCGACCACCTTGCCCTCGACCACCTCGCCCTCGACCACCTCGCCCTCGACCACCTCGCCCTCAACCCCCCACCCACGCCCCCCCCCGTGCGCCCGATCGACCGGCGCCCCGCCTATGTGCCCGCCCTCGCGCCCGCCTGCGCCTTCTGCAGCATCATCCGGATCGCTCCCGCCCCCCCCCCCCCCCGATTTTTTTTCCGATTCTTTTCGAATTTTTTTTTAATTTAATTTTCTTGTGCTCTCCATCTCCTCAGATCAAATTTTTTGGGTTTCCCCCTATGGGTACCCCTCCCACCACCCACTTCCACCCCAAATATTCCTGCTCCATCTCCTCGGATCAAGTTTTTCTCGATATCAATAATACAAAGACTCCACTTCCTCGGATCAAGTTTTTGAGGTTCTCCTTCCCACTTTCACCCCCTCAAAAAAAATTCCTGCTCCAATTCCTCGGATCAAGTTTTTCTCGATATCAATAATACAAAGATTTCCCCCCCACACCTCCCACCACCCACTTCCACCCCAAATATTCCTGCTCTATTTCCTTGGATCAAGTTTTTCTCGATAATCCAAAGACTCCACTTCCACGAATCAAGTTTTTTGGATTACACCCTCTGGGGGTAAGCATTCAAAATGGACTCCCACTTGCATCCCAAATTCCCTGCTCCAATTCCTCGGATCAAATTTTTCTCGAAATCAATAATACCAAGACTAAAACTCCTTGGATCAAGTTTTTCTCGATAATACAAAGACTCCATCTCCTTGGATCAAGTTTTTGGGTTCCCCCCTCTGGGGGTAAGCATTCAAATGTACTCCTCCTATGGGGCATGGTACTTTCTCTTACTACAGGTCTAAACAAGTGTCGTCACCCCACCTGTGTTTACTCGGCAGTCAGTGACGTCACGTGATGACCTCACACACACAGGCTGAATCTTGTCGACTTCCCCCTATGTCAGTGACGTCATGTGATGAATACACACACTTTTCTCAATATCTCTTAATACAATAATACAAAGACTCCACTTCCTCGGATCAAGTTTTTTTGGGATTCCCCCCTCTGGGGGTAAGCATTCAAAATGGACTCCCACTTTCATCCCAAATTCCTGCTCCATCTCCTCGGATCAACACCCTCTAAACCATATATTTCTCCTCCACTTCCTTGGATTCCCCCCTATGGGGATTCGAATTTCTTATGATCTCCTCGGATCAACACCCTCCCCCCCACGCCACCCCATCCCAAAATTTCTGCTCCAGCTCCTTGGATCAAGTTTTTCTCAACTTTTTGAGGTTCTCCTTCACACTTTCACCCCCATCCCAAATTTTTTCGAATTTTTTTTTGAATTTCATTTTCTTATAATCTCCATCTCCTCGGATCAAGTTTTTGGATTCCCCTCTCTGGGGGGTAAGCATTCAAAATGGACTCCCACTTTCACCCCAAATATTCCTGCTCTACTTCCTTGGATCAAGTTTTTCTCGATATCAGTAATACCAAGACACCAACTCCTGGGATCAAGTTTTTCTCGATAATACAAAGACTCCTCGGATCAAGTTTTTGGATTCCCCATCTGGGGGTAAGCATTCAAATGAACTCCTATGGGGCATGGTACTTTCTCTTACTACAGGTCTAAACAAGTGTGACGTCACCCCACCTGTGTGTGAGAGGTCATCACGTGACGTCACTGACATAGGCTGAATCTTGTCAACTTCCCCCTATGTGTGTGAGGTCGTCGCGTGACGTCACTGACCGCCGAGTAAACACAGGTGGGGTGACGTCACGCTTGTTTAGACCTGTAGTAAGAGAAAGTACCATGCTCCATAGGAGTTCATTTGAATGCTTACCCCCAGAGGGGGAATCCAAAAACTTGATCCGAGGAGATGGAGATCATAAGAAATTAAATTAAAAAAAAAATTCGAAAAAATTTGGGATGGGGGTGAAAGTGTGAAGGAGAACCTCAAAAAGTTATTGAGAAAAACTTGATCCAAGGAGTTGGAGCAGAAATTTTGGGATGGGGTGGCGTGGGGGAGGGTGTTGATCCGAGGAGATCATAAGAAATTCGAACCCCCATAGGGGGGAATCCAAGGAAGTGGAGGAGAAATATATGGTTTAGAGGATGTTGATCCGAGGAGATGGAGCAGGAATTTGGGATGCAAGTGGGAGTCCATTTTGAATGCTTACCCCCAGAGGGGGGAATCCCAAAAAAACTTGATCCGAGGAAGTAGTCTTTGTATTATTGTATTTCTTAAGAGATATTGAGAAAAGTGTGTGTGTGTGTGTTTGTGTGTGGTCATCACGTGACGTCACTGACTTAGGGGGAAGTCGACAAGATTCAGCCTGTGTGTGTGAGGTCATCACGTGACGTCACTGACTGCCGAGTAAACACAGGTGGGGTGACGACACGCTTGTTTAGACCTGTAGTAAGAGAAAGTACCATGCCCCATAGGAGGAGTACATTTGAATGCTTACCCCCAGAGGGGGAACCCAGAAAACTTGATCCAAGGAGATGGAGTCTTTGTATTATCGAGAAAAACTTGATCCAAGGAAATAGAGCAGGAATATTTGGGGTGGGAGGTGTGGGGGGGGAAATCTTTGTATTATTGATATCGAGAAAAACTTGATCCGAGGAGATGGAGCAGGAATATTTGGGGTGGAAGTGGGTGGTGGGAGGGGTACCCATAAGGGGAAACCCAAAAAATTTGATCCGAGGAGATGGAGAGCACAAGAAAATGAAATTCAAAAAAAAATCGAAAAAAATCAGAAAAAAATTCGGGGGGGCGGGGGCGATCCGGACGCCGCCGCAGAAGGCGCGAGCAGGCGCGAGGGCGGGCACGCGGGTGGGGGGCGAGGTGGTCGAGGGCGAGGTGGTCGAGGGCGAGGTGGTCGAGGATGAGGTGGTCGAGGGCGAGGTCAAGGTCGCGGGTCGGCGCGGACGAGCTGGCGCTCGGGCGGGCGTGCGGGCACGGAAGGAGACCGCTCAGGAGGGACTGCTCAGCCGTAGACCTTTCGGGAGGAGACCGTACCATGAAGACCGTACCGTGGGAGACCGCTCTGTAGAAGACCGCTCAGCCGCCTTCAGCACTACTTTATATATACAATGTGTGTGTGTGTGTGTGTGTGTGTGTGTGTGTGTGTGTGTGAAATCATCTCAGTCAGTCAACAAGTGATAAATGAAGTGAGATCAAAACTACCAGGAGCAGCAGTCATTGCCCCCACAAATAGTGTCTTGCTAGGAGCACCTCGGGGAAGCAATGCTATTGACACAATTCTCAGGAAGAAATTGGAAGAGTTAAGGAGAATGGAACAACGAATAGGCAATCTGAACACCCACGATGCCTTGTACCTTCTCACAAAGTGTTTGAATCTGCCCAGGTTGACATATTTCCTAAGATGTGCACCTTCATATGATAACCCTATACTGCACGAATATGACAGTATCCTGAGGCTGATTTTTACGAAAGTACTTAACCTTACTCTAGAAGACGGGCAGTGGAACCAAGCTACACTTCCAGTCAGACTAGGAGGCATTGGTGTCTGCAAGTCATCACAGATTGCGCTACCTGCTTTTCTGTCCTCATATGTATTGCATCCAGAGGGCTTGTAGCAGCAATTCTCTCTGAACATCTTAGGGACAAGATTGGAATCCAGGACCAAAAGTTCATTGATGGAGCCATGATCTGGGATAATCTAACAGGCTCCGAAACCAGACCTGCTCCCCCCAACAACTACAAACAATCGCACTGGGATGGTCCAATAGTGGAAAATATAGCCTCAACAATGCTTCAGAGTGTGTCAGGGAAGGATAGAGCCCGCCGCCTATCAGCGAGAGCCCCTCATGCAGGGGACTTTCTGTTGGCTGTTCCCAATTCCAGCCTTGGCCCACGCCTCGACCCACAAACCATCCGCATCGCATCAGTGTTTCCCTTCGACTTGCCGCCCCTATTCTCGCCGAACACGGGTGTATTTGTGGCAGTGAAGCAGCAGACTGATTCGGGTACCATGGTCTTGTGTGCCGTAAATCCGAGGGAAAGATTGCAAGACATGAGGGTAATAACATTATCAAGAGGAGCCTCACAACAGCTGGATGGCCAGCAGTAAAGGAGCCACCCCAGCTATGCAGATCTGATGGCAGCCAGAAGCGTCCAGATGGTGTCACCCTTCAAGCCTGGACAGATGGGAAGCAGGTGGTGTAGGACTATACATGTGCATCTACCTTGGCTGATACCTCTCTCCAATACACCAGGGAGGAAGGAGGGGCAGCTGCCAGCTTCAGGGAGTCCCAAAAGTCTAGAAAATATGGAGAACTTGCCCATCATTATATGTTTGTTCCCATAGGCTCAGAGACCCTTGGCTCACGGGGAAAGAATGCATCTAAATTCCTTAAGGAGCTGGGAAAAAGACTCATCAGGGTAACTAGGGATCCCAGGGCAGCTAGTTTTCTGTTCCAGCGGCTCAGTGCGGCTGTTCAAAGGGGTAATGCCTGCTGTATTTTGGG